GACGGGGCTGCAGGGTAGGGACAGGGCTGCAGGGTGAGGTCGGGTCATAGGGTGGGGAGGGGGTCACAGGGTGGGGACAGAGTCTGCAGGGTGGGGACAGGGTCACAGGGTGGGGACAGAGTCACAGGGTGGGGACGGGACTGCAGAGTGGGAATGGGCCCTCAGGGGGACCGGGTGGGGACAGGGTCGCAGGGTGAGCCACTTGGAGGCCAGGCGCTCGGGAATGTTTACCCTGTGGCGTTCCCTAAGCCAACCTGCCTGCCTAGTCTGGGGAAGTCACGCAGGGGCCCCATGATGGGGTCTCCGGGAACCCGCACCGAGCCCTGTGTCGGGTGTCAGTCCCCTGGCTCAGTGTCCTCCCATCACAGCGGGGGGTGGGGAGCGGGACACCCCATGGTGCTCGGGGCTGGCTTTCCCTCTTCACAAGTCTGTTTTGGCGGGGAGGGCGGAGGGGTGGGGTCTGGGTCTGCTCTCTCCACAGTTGCCAGGTCTGGCTCCGATGCTCCCAAGCCTTTCATCCCCTCCTTGCCTGTCGGTGGGGCCCAAGGCTGGTTTTCTGGTCATTCCCACACTGAGAGGCAGGTGGGCTTGGAATTTCTTACCTCATGCCAGGCGCGGAGACTCAGGGCAGGGTGAGGATGCATGTGTGCACACACAGATGTATACATGTGTGCGTGTCTGTGCATCCGTCACACTTATTTATACATTACACATGGCAAGTGTGTGCACACACATGTATACATGTGTGTAGGCATACGTGTGCATCCTTCATGCTTATTTATGCATTACACATGGCATCTGTGTGCACACATATGTATATGTGTTTGCATGCACATGTGCCATGTGTTGTTTGAATGCAGACATGTGTGTAGTGACCGTGTGTGGTTCTCAGGAAACGGGGAGAGGTGTTGGGGGAAGTCCAGGGCCACGTGCCATTTCCCTGTGCTTCCTCGCATCAAGCAAGGTGTTTTTCTTCTATTTGAAGTTGCTGGAGGGCGTGTGTGCTCGCCAGAGTGAGACAGAGAGGGAGCAAGCACCGCAGTGGGGTGCCGCCAGCTGCAGTCCCCTCTTCCATCTCCCCACCTTTAGAAGTTCGGGCACCCGTGCACATGCACCTGACATGCGTTTCAAGCCACTGGGGCTGGAACTCGAACTGTGGTTGGTCACGTGGAATCTAGCTCCCGTCACTGGTAGGCTACAGGGCAGCCTCTGCAAGGTATTTAATGTCCAGGCGGGACCTTGGGCTTCCTGAGCAGGGCGAGCTGGGGAGGGCACTGAGTGGGGCTCCCAGGCCTCGCCCTGCTTGGGCTACTGTTTTGTGACTTTGGATCGGCCACTTCCCCTCCCTGAGACCCCGTGTCCCTGATGGTCAAATGAGGGGGCTGGCTGGGTGAGGACTGCCAAGGCCCATCCCAGCTATGACAGTCTGCCAGACAGAGGACACCTCTCCTCGGTAAGCCTGAGATCGGACTGAGGGTTCTGGTCTAGAGACAGCTGACCGCTGGGCCTGCTGAGCTCGACACCCCACCCTGCACCCAGGAGTGCTCGAGACCGGCGAGCGTCAGTCTGTGGGCTAGGGAGAGCTGGAGGAGGGCAGGGGGGCCCACCAGGTGGTGGCAGGTCCCCGGCAGAGCAGGAGTGCAGGGGTCTCTGCCCTAGAGCAGCTCTGTCCCTGCAGGCACAGTGGCCTGTCCCACGCTCCCCTTTTGAAGTACTCATGTGCTGTTGGTCACTGGACAAGGACTGCATCTGCTTATCAGACTGCAGGCAGGGAGGAGGGACGGAGCAGGTGACAGTGCTGGGTCAGCCCAGCCCTCGATATGGTCCCTGTCAGCTCCTGTGTGTGAAGGCCCAGCAAGAAAACTGCTGGGATTGCCCGCCCACCCACAGAAGGACAGGGGCAGATGGCAACGTCTGACCAGACCCTGTTCACGGAGGAGGGTGGAGGAGAGCGTGCCCAGAACGCGGAGGTGGGGGTACAGGAGGCCACACCCCAGCCTGCATGGCCGTGCATTCTCAGGACTCGCAGTGTCTTCTCTGTGTTCCTCTCAGTTTCTATTCTTAAAACTAACTCAAGGGACCAGCAGATGGCGTAATGGTTATGTCGCTGGACTCCCATGTAGTTGACCACAGTTCCAGTCCTGGACCCCGTGGCTTCCAACTCACATCGGGCGTGTGTGCGTGCGTGCCCAAGGTCCCAAGAAGGGATTGTGGCATGGCCATCCCCCCTGGGGGGTGATTTTTCGCTTTCTCTCTGTCTCCTGTCTCTCTAGTGAGTGCACACGCCCTTATAGCGAACTAACTCGAGGTCTCCAAGTCACATTTTTTCTAAGAAAAACCTCTCTGTTAATGAGGAATAATTCAGTTCTTCAGCGGCATACTTGTTTTAGGACATTTATACTTAAAGTTCAAGACTTTCCAAATAATAAAACCTTCAACATGTGGACCTCGGCTTTGCCATGACATCACTGAGAGCATTACTGGCACTTTCCAGAAGGTTCCACCCTCTGATGCCTTCATGTTGCTCTGCTCGTTCAGAGTTATTAGCCTGCAACACCGTGTGGATTCGGCTGGCTCAGGACCACAGACACACAGTCTTGGTCACCCTCCTCCCGGGCTCCCAGGCAGTGCAAGCTGCACACGGGGCCAGCACTCACCCAGAGAGGCAGCCCACAGGTCCAGGATCCCTCTTACCTGGAAATGAAAAATCCCTGCATAGCCCGGGCCGAAGCTCTGGTCCTGGGGCACGACACGGGCCAGCGCCTTGTCATTGAGCGTGAGGGAGGCGATGGCGGCTAAGAGCCAGCAGTCTCCTGGGAAACCAGAGCCGTCACCACAGCTGTCAGAGCTGGTGCCAGGCGACCAGAGGGCATGGCGCCACCGGGGCGGGCGCGTTCTAAGAAAGGGATGGAACACCCCAGGCTCCTCTGTGCCCCCCGCCGCTGCCCTGCCTGCCCTCTCCTGCCCAGTGGCGGGCGTGTTGACTCGGGTTCAGACACACAGCTCACCAGCTCTGTGAAGTCCCAGCGCCTCCCCTCCAGGAGCCGCCGCTCCGACGTGTGTCTGTGTCGCCTGCAAGCCGACCCTGGGCTGCGGCCCATGCCGGGTCTGCGGTACTTGGCGTGTGCTTGGGAGGGCTCCATAATAGCTCCTGGGTGCCGGGAGCACACTCCAGGGCCGGTGCCTTCTCCACCAGACTGCTGAGTTCGAGCTGGCGCTGTCTCCACTGCGTCTGGGTACCTCGCGTTTCCGCATTTGTTGGCTAATCTCTTGATCTCAGCGGTGGATCTTCATATTCACACACTTGCAGGAAGGCTGGAGGGTGACGTCCCGCGTGTGACAGCACTCAGTGCAGTGCCAGGCTCCCAGATGTGCTCCTCGCCCATGGGCGGTGGCCCGAGCCTCCTGGGCGCCTCGCAGCGGTGTGGACACTGGCGAGAACGTGTGAGCAGGGCCTGCAGGCGTCCACCTCCCCACGGACTGCGGTGCTGTCTAGGCTGGCTGTTCTTCCCAGACGACAGCGACCTGTTGCAACCTAAGGCCCCTTTACACTCAGCATGGCTTCCCGAGGTCACGCTTCTGGGAAGTACCGTGTCCCACTGGGCATGGGCCTCTGTAATATGACCCCTTGTGGCTGTCGGTCACAGACAAGAGGGACCCCAGGGCCCTGACATCAGGAAAGTGACTTCCCAGCTGCTCCGTTCCTGACTTTCCTGGGTGGCACTGCCAGGACACATGCCACCCCACCTCAGCGGGGCACAGAGGCCTGGTTTCTGGTGTGCCCGCTGGTGTTTGGGAGCCTCAGGCTTCGGGAGGTGCCGAGGGGAGCGACTGGCTGGAGGTCTGCACGACCACCGGTTCTGCGAACAGGCGCAGGCACGGTGCCACGGCAGGGTGCGAAGACGAGTTAAGACCCCATTTTCTGCTCTACGGAGGCCAGCCTTGGCCTGCAAAGTCTCACAGAGCTCCCCCTGCTGTGGGCAGACCAGTTAGGGCCTTGCCCACAGGAGGAAACGTGGGCTTCTCCTGACCCAAGAGTGCGACACCATCTCTGCAGCCAGGAAGGCTCTGGGCCTCTGTGAGGGCGCCCAGAGACCCATGCTATTAGACAGTGTAGAAGAAACGAGGAAAGTCAACAGCAAAACAGAGCGTGTTTCTATCTGCTGGGCCCGGGGCACGGGCAGGCTGGCCACCTCCGCGCCATGTCCAGGAGAAGCGCCTTCTGCCAGTCAGTTTCTTGGGGCCAGGGAACCCCAGGAAGGGCAGGCAGTGGTGTGGGTGAGGGTCCGGTCTGACAGCCCACGCCATCCATTTTCTTGTTAGTGTTCGTCGTCTGCACAGACGCCATGCGCACACCTAGTGGGTACGAGTGTCTCCGAAAGGGCGAGGACTTGCCCACTCACTAGGGTTAAATCCAGACGTGCGCTTACGCGAGCCAGGCCCAGACGGAAGGCCAAGGTGCAGGACTTTCTGTTGAACTGCAGTGCAGGGTGGTGGGAGACGGGAGGAGAGGAGCAGGAGAGGCGGGAGGCGCAGGGGAGTCCCTAGAGAAGGCTTGGACTCCGTCTGAAGGTGCACTCCCAGAACAGTCTAGAACATATGATCCTGTTCATCATCCACCTGCCTGCCTGTCTGTCCATGCGTACTTCTGTCTACCTACCCTCCGACCCACAGCCATCTACATAGCAGGCTACCCATCTGCCCGCCATTACCTGTCTGTCATCTCAGGCTCTGTGTGACTCTCAGTGAGCAGGTTTGTGACTGGGACCCTGAGGCTGCAGTAGCTCAGTTGCTCAGCTCGGAGGCTCCAGTGTGGCCTTAACCGTTAGCCCGCACCTGCACCCGCACCCCACCCTCACCCACAGCCTCAGCCGTGACTAGGCCAGGGTCTGCACAGGCGTTCGTAGTTGCCCTTTTCAGCTGACTCCTGGTGGTTTTTTCCCAAAGGAATCATTCATTTAATTTAATTTTTACTGTTATTATTGTTTAAATTTGACTGGAGAGAGAGATGGAAATAGAAAGCAAGCCACCAAGAACAGGTCTTGAACCATGGTCAGCCATGTGGTAGTCCAGTGCCTTAACCACCACGCCACCTGCTGGCTTCCACTGATTTTTAAGGGAGGCTCTCTTTTGTCGTAGCTATTGTAAAGGCAAACCCAGCCAAAGTAGACTAAATCCCGACGTGCAGGGCCCAGCTCGGTGTGGGGCACACCTGGGTCAGTTCTGGAAGACAACTGTTGCTGAGACGCTCCCCACTCCAAGTCTGGCCCCAAAAGGCGGTGAGGTAACTGGGTAGTGCGATCTCACAGACAGAGCTCTGGATGGACTCGGACTCCCTGCGCTTCTGTGACCTGGAGAAGCTGGCTAGCCTTCGTCAGCCTCAGTTCTTCATCTGTAACAGGAGGGTGTGCGGGAGGCGGCCGAGCTTATGCAGCGAGTGTAGCACGCCATGATGTGCACGGCTGGAAAAGCACCGCAGGGTGCCACAGGTCCCTGTCACTGCAGACTGAGAGCCCCAGACCACAGTGCAGCACTGCAGGCGGCAACGGCGTGTCCCTAGCCTTGCGTCCCCTGCTGCTCCGAATGTACTGCCCCAGGACCCCTCCCACCAGTCCCATCCCCACTTACCAAGCTCCCCCTGGCAGATGTCTGTCCTCGTGGCCCCTCCAAGGATGAATTCTGGGTTTTTCACGATTTCCTGGAGGCAGAAGAGCGTTATTAGTGTGGGGAGGGGGCTGGGGTGAGGCCAGGCAAGGTCCCTCCTTTCATGGATCAGAGCGCTCCTGGTCTGGCTACTTCCATGGGGGCCAGGAGGAGGTGAGAGCTGCCCTGGCCCTGTGCCCAGATGGACCTGCTCATCCCTAGCAGATCCCACCCCTGGGGAGAGGCCCTACCTCCTGAGCCCACACCAGGCCACAAGTGCTGACAGCCACCCACCAAGGATTTCCGCCCTCCATTGGGCTCTGGGACAAGTGTTTGAATCCCAGCCCCACCATCTGTGAGCTCCGTGGGCCTCGGCTCCATGTCCCGCGGAGAGGTGGGTAGAACATGGCCCTAGGCTATTGCCTAGGGGTGGACACAGAACCCTGGTGTTTCTTTTGTTAAAAAATATTTTTCCTATAGGGCACATGTGCTCACCACAGAGACAGAGATGGAGAGACAGAAAACGAGAGATCATCCCCTGAGAGGATAGCCAAGCTGCAATCCCTTCTCTTCTGTTCTCTGCTCAGGATGTTAGGCACACACGGATGTGAGCCTGGTGTGAGTTAGAAGCCACTGGGTCAGACTCGAACCACGGTTGACCAAATGGGAACCCGGCAACATAACCAGTGCTCCATCTGCTGGTCCCCCCACGTTCCTTACAACCAGCATTTAGGTGACATTGCACGTATGGTGCTGTATGTGTAGAGAGAGGCGCACTGTCTCATACCACTTTTCTTAAGTGCGCTGTTTCATCTGTTACCACAATCATACATCGTGTGTGTAGATACTGGGCTGTCTAAAAAGTCATGACAAATTTTTTTTTTTTTTTGGGTGCTATAGGGCACGTGCACTAACCAGAATGACAGAGAGAGAAAGAGGCAGAAAGCAAGAAATCACCCCCCGGGGGGATGGCCACACTGCAATTCCTTCTCCTCCATTCTCCTCCCGGGATCTTGGGCACGCACGCACACATGCCCGACGTGAGTTTAAGCCACTGGGTCCGGGACTTGAACTGCGGTCGACTACATGAGAGTCCAGAGACATAGCCATCATACTGACTGCTGGTCCCATCGTGACAGATTTTTAAAAATGGCTTTCTATGTAAAATTGTGTCATCAACCCAATATAATCATTGAAATATATCTCGACGCACAACATGGAGGGATATGAATAAAACGTTTGAAAAAGTGGTGGGACCAGCCCCGAACGCGGCAGTTTGGGTGCAAAGCAGAGGAAGCTGGATCCCACGTGGACACCGGGGTTCCAGTCCCACCCCACTGGCCTCACGCGAGGAGCATGTGGGCTTGCCAGAATCCTGATGGAATGGAGAATGGAGAAGAAGGTTTGTGGAGTGCCCAGGCCCCATCTAAGGTGTGTCTCTCTCTCCGTCACTCTCCCTCCCTCTCCTATCTCAAAAATGTGGGAAGAGAGTGTGAGCCTCATGTAACCCCTTCCCAGCACTTCTTTCTGTACTAGAGAGGCACGGGTGTTTTGGGGAGCAGGTGTCCTGGGTGGAGGCTGAGTGTGGGAAGAGAGTGTGAGCCCCTTCCCAGCACTTCTTTCTGTGCTAGAGAGGCACGGGTGCTTTGGGGAGCAGGTGTCCTGGGTGGAGGCTGAGCAGTCGGAGGGAAGCAGTGTGCAAAAAAGCAGGTGGGTGCAGGCAGACAGGGTGCTGGGGGGAAGAGGAGCCTAGAGCACGTGTGCCTTGGGGGGCTCCCTCAAGCTGGACTGTCAGGCTGGAGACCCCTCTCTTTCCATGTACCTGCAGGCACCCAGCCTGCACAGACCACGCCCACTAGGGTGCACATCAGCCTGCGGCCCTCCCCCAACCCCACTCCTCCGTCCCTAAGCCATGCCCTTCAGTGCCCTACTGCCCCGCCATGGTCCCATGGCTCCATCCCCACCCTGTCCCCAAGCACAGCTGTGTTTGACAAGAGGGTGGTGCTGGGGATAGCCGGCAGCTCGGCCCTCGCTGTGGACACTCGTGCCGCCCGACTGCTGAGTCTACCAAGAGGGGTGTTCCCTGTCAGAAGCGGGGACCTGCTGGAAGGGACCTGAAGCCCTGAGGAAGAGTGGGTTGCACATGGTAGACTAGGAGTTGGGGCTTCCCGTCCCAACTAATCCGAGGTCGCGTGCGTCAGGCTGTGTGCGCCTGTCCCACACGGGGCATTTCATTGCATGTGGGCCACAGCTCCTCTGCCCTGGGCTCAACGCTGGTTCTCAGTGGCCGACTCCCAGTGACGGGCTCGGGAGCAGCAGACCGAGTCTGCATTCCAGGACAACCTCTGTGCCCTCAATAGACATCACCAATGGACCACGGCACTGTACCACTGCTAGGCAGTCCCCACAGGTGGCCAGAGCTGCCAGCCCACAACGGGACACCGTCCACCTTCTCGATGAGGCCTTGATGCTCACTAGTGGTGGCCCTGTCTCCGTTCCCTGAACCCAGGTGCAGAATGGAATCACCAATTAGGCTGTGGTCACTGTGCCCAGGCCAGGCACTGCCTAAGCAAGGAGAGGAGGAGGGAGAGGATCACGAGACAGGTTCTAGAGGGCAGAGCTTGATTTGGCTGGGTGAGGTTGTAGGCAGTTTTCAGAAAGAGCATGGAGACCTCAGCGGGGAAGGCTGGGGGAGAGCTGCGGTCCTAGGTGAGGGATCTGTGTGTGGGTGTGCCCATGCATGCACACAGAGATGAGTGTGTACACGCAGGCACACGCACATGCAGACACGTCAGTGTGCATGTGCATGTAACCACACACACGGTCAGATACGCACATGCTGCTACAGCAGAGCCTACCACTTGAAAACAACAGCTTACACATACTGTGGCCTCGGCCCCCGAGGAGCCCAGAGATGGCGTGTGCCTGTGTTTTTTAATAGACCTGTCGCATGCAAGGCTCCCGCTCCTAAAGCGTGCTCACAGGCTGGCCCGCGTGGGAGGCCTGGGCTGTGTCTGTGACCCCTCCGCGCGGGAGGCTGAGGCAGGATTGCAGTCTGAGGCTGGCCTGGGTGACACAGCCAAGGCCCTGTCTGAGGAAGAGCTGAGCCTGGTGGTGTTTGCCCGGAGCTAGCTGAGAGGCTGAGGCAGAGGATCCAACATGGCGAGACTCCACCTTTCAAACAGATCAATCAGGGGACATAGAGACAGAGGAGGCAGACAGAGCTGGCGAGGTGCAGACGATGCAGCAACGGCGAGCGTGTCAAAGCAGTCACGTATGGAAAACCTCCCATGCGGCGGGCACGGACCACCTCGTTCACTGCTGACCCCATTACTCAGGTGACGGGACTGAGGCTCAGGGGAGCTAAGCGCTGTGACCGTGGTCACAGGACTTCTTCATTGGCAGGGGGCCTGTATACCTTGCATCGTCCCACCTTGCCCATAAGCAACTGTCCCCACCAGGGCCACTCCCAGACCGGTACCACCCAGACAGAATGGGGGCCAGCTGGGGTCAGAGTAGAGCCCAACCCAGCAAATACTGACACGTCGCAGGCCCCTGCGGCAGCCTCCTGGGACGCATCTCCAGGCGGCTGGGGTGGGCTGCATGGACACTCACCCTGACTCTCCTCTGGGAACTGAAGGGACAGGCCAAGGAGAAACCCTGCCTCTCTGCGCCCCACTCACCTCCCACTGCTGAGCTGAGACCCTCGCTCCAGGAGAAGGGCTGGAGCCCTGTGCAGACTGCCCTCGCTGGTCACACCCAGGTGCCGGGCAGTTTCTGAGCAGCCCCCGGCCCTCTGCCCTCATTTTCCCCTGGGTTCTGGTGGACTCGTTGCCTGAGACTTTTGGATAAAACCTGGACTTCTACCCATGGCCTACGAACTAGATTGTCTCCAAATCCAGGTCCCTGGCATCAGTGGGAGGTCAGCGAACTTAGAACAGGGGAGGGGCGCAGCCAGACACCCGCACCTCACCGCCCTGAGTGTCCCAGACCGGCACCACATCCTGCATCCCCACTGCCAACTTCCAACAAACAGTAGCCTTGGGAGTTGGGAGACGCGTCTCAGCAGGCGTGAGAGTAGCCCACCCCTCCTGGCACCTGCTTTCCCACTTCCTCTTCCCAGGAGCTTGCACTCTCTCCCAGAACCCTGAGCTTCAGCACCCCGGTGCTCCCACTCTCCCTCGCCCCACTCACCCCTGGCCGTTTCCACACGAAGGGGACCCGGGGTCTCTCACTGTAGAACAGGGAGGAGTCGTTGGCTGGGAAGTCTACATCCTCGAACAAGGTGCCCCTCTGCAGGCACTCCTGCCTCAGTTGCTCGAAGCTCTGGCCTGAGGAGTGGGTGGTCTGGGCGTCTTTGGGAACTGGGTGCGCCTGGGGCCCGGGCGCCCGGTAGAGGTAAGGCATGGCAGCTCCCTGCTGGCTTGAGCCGCAATGACTGGAAAACACACCATGTGCAACCTGCCGAGAAGTGCAGCTCCGAGGCCCTGGGTGAGCAGCTCGACCTCCACCTGTTTGCTGGCCCTCCCTGTTAGACCACACCGCCACACCCTGATGGCAAACTGCAGGGGAGCCCTGCCCTCTGGCTTCTGCTCACCCTGAGGGTGTCGTGGGGCCTTGGCCCATTTGGGCAGGCAGGGCACCTCTGCTTGGTGCAGGGGGAGACAAGGAGGGGAGAGAGGGAGAGAGAGGCAGGCTCGCTCTGTGGGGAAAGTGAGCGAGAGACCACCTCTATCTGGGAGGTGTGGCGGGAGAGCGCACCCGTCTCCTGAGTCAGAGGCCACAGCTGTGGGCCAGGAAGCCGGAGACTCGTCCTAGCACAGAGCGCACAACGGCTTGTGTGCTGTCGCTGGTAACCCCCTTCTGTCTAGTGCTGGGGTGGCAAACTTCTGCAAAGGGTCAGGTTATATTTTCAGCTTTGGGGGCTGTGCAGTGTGCACCACGGCCACTTGGCTTCGCTGTAGCAGCGCCAAAACACAGGGGCTGCCATGGCTGTGTCTCTATAAAACTGTCCCAAAGCAGCAGGGGCTGACCCCAGAGGCATTCCGCTCCTCCTCCAGGCACACGCACCCTCTTGTCCAGAGAGCGTGTTGATGAAGTCCCTACCGCGGCATCTCTCACTTGAGGGGGAAAGAAAGGCCAGAGGATGAGGCAGCTCTCTAACGGCCCCAGCAGCCCTCGAAAGCCCCGGGGCCCTCACACCACAAGGTTTCCACATGACTCCAGCAGACGAAGCTAGGGGTTGAAGGTGAGGGGCCTCGAGTTCACGGGCACAGGCAAAGAGCGGTGACCTGAGTTTTCATTTACCCTCACAATCCCAGGAGTGCCCACTTACTCCGACCACTGTCCATCCGTGGGATCCCGTGTGTTGTTTTACAAGGAAGGTATAGACGCTGCAGCTGCGTGGGTTTAACCCTGGGAAAGCCTAAGTGTTTGTCGTCCCCTCCTCCCAGCCCCAGGCAGACGCTGAAACCCTTGCCGCCGAGGCGGTGGTTTTAGGAGGTGGGGCGTGTGGGAGCTGACTCGGGCCCATGAATGGGTCGGTGCTCCCATGAAAGAGGTCCCACTCCTCCTGTCCTGTGAGGTCACGGGGACCAGGGAGCAGATCCTCACCAGACGCGGAGTTGCTGGGCTTCGGCCTTAGGCTTTTGGCTTCCCGGTGGGGCTTCGTTATAGCAGCAGGACTGGGCTGAGACACTGCCCGCTTGCGTGGAGTGACCTCGGACGAGTAGCCTGCGCCTATTTCCACACCGGGCATCAGGGCAATGGCGCTGCCTCTGCGGCCTGTGGTGGAGGCCTGGGCCGGGGCCGGAGCCGCTCAGAGCTGCACCTGCACTGTCGGCTCCTCCTGCTGCCCTCCTGCACACCCTGTGGTCCCCAGGCCCCACTCCTAGGACACCTCCCCTAAGACTCCTTCCCAGAATCACTGGCCCACTGGGAAAGGCTCTTGGGTGTGTCCCTGTCACACAGTGAAGGGCTCTGGACCACACGAGCCCATAGTGGCCCAGGGCCCAGTCCTGGTCCGTCCAGATGATTCTCTGCTGGAGCCGAAGCTGTCGCCAGGGTCCTGCGGCCTCGACCCTGCCAGGTAGCTCTGTTTTGAGGTGACTGAGGGGGCAGCTGGGGAAACAGGTATGACAGCGCGAGGGCCGTACATTTCGGTGACACTTTGGCAGGGCGATGACCACCAGCCCAGGTTCCCGAGCACATCCCCTTCCGACGCCCTAGCAGTAGGGAGGAGGATCCTGAGGGAAGTTAACACTGTGAGCCTCAAGGGACCCGCCGCAGGCTCTGGGGAGCCGTTCCGCCTGCTCTCCAGCCAGGCCCTGTCCTCCGCCGTGCCACGCGCTGGGAGACATGGGTTTCTTTTCAAAGCCTGATTTTAGTTACTGGGTAAACAGAGACCTGCACCGTCCTTGTAAATAAAGCAAAAGGGCCTCCCGATCGCAGAACGTGGAAAGGGCTTAGATATTCCAGAGCCGTGCTGGGGTCTGTCTGGCACCTGCTCTCCGGGACCTGAGAATGTCTGCTGGGAAGGGTACTCTTGGGTCACCGCCCGGCCATCCTGCCCACCCCCCGGGTCCTGTCCGTGGGCAGTCAGGCCGGGCAGCTCTGTGCAGGTTTTCCCCAGGATGTGCTGTGTTGGGTTCTCCCGGCTGAGGCTTGCACACACACCTGCCAAGTGGGCCCCAACCAGCGCCACAGGTTAGCAGACGGCTTTGGGGGTCTTGGCCTAATTCTCCCAATCTCGCTTCTTCTCAGGCTGGTAAGTGGTTATGGTTCGAGGCCTGTAGGCCCTGCACACCTCCTCGCCCACGCTGGGAAGCTCCTCCACACAGCTCTCGCCACACTGGGAAGTGATTGGTCAGGGAAAGGTGGGCCCCTCGTGGCCAGGCTCGGCCCACGTCAAGCCTAGAGACGTGCGTGGCTTGGAGCCCTGTGGGGCTGGGGGCCGCTCACCATTCAGCAGAGCGATCTGCCCAAGGGAACTTCTAAACCGAGTGGCCCTCTCCCACCTCTGGGCCCCGGCTCTTCTGGCCCCGAGTCCTCTCCCTCTCCTCCTCACCACGCCTGGTGCCAGGGCCTTTGCTGCTCCCCCTCATGCTCGCCTTGCAGGGCAGAGGTGCAAGACTCACCCCTGGCCCTGTGACGCCCTGGAGCAAAGCCCCAAGGACAGACGTAGCAGCCCCTCAGTGTGGCGACCTTGTCCTGGGCCTCAAGTGGGCCCAGTGGTCACAGTGGAGCTGACTCATCGCCATGTCGCAGGTGCAAAGCTGACCGTCCTGCAGCGGGACTCATCTTCCCATTTCCCGCACCTGCTCTCCCATGCTGGCTACTGGCCCCAACTGCTGCCCTGGCGGTGGCCCTGGCCTGCGGGTGCTGGGCGGGATGGGCAGTGAGAGTGCAGAGCCTAGGAGGGCTGAGGCTAATACCAGGTGTACCAGGAGAGAAGGCCGGGAGGGGACTGATTATTGAGAAGTACTGTCAAGGCCGCCTGTTGGGGACTGGGACAGGTGTCAGGTGGCTTCCTGCCCTCAGCCGTGAGCTGAACAGTGGAGGCCACAGGAGGAGGGGTCGGACTTGAAGTAAGTTCAGACTGGCTGGATTGAGAGCATGGCACCCTCCTACTTGGGAAAACCCTTTGGGAGGGCAGTTTATTGACAGCTGTCAAACCCACGGACGCGTTTGCTCCGACCCAGCCACTGCACTTCTAGACTAGAATTTATCCCTCCTGTCGATACGTCTGCACCCCAGAAGTGAAAGGCATGCCCGGTCATTCAGTTCATTGCGGCATTGTTTGCTTCAGGAAAGCTCCGAGCAGCCCCAGCGTCCGCATGTCAGGGGGAACGGCCTAAGCTGTGGGATACTGGTCATAGGGTGCAAGACCATGCCGTCCCAGGACAGCAGCAGGGCATGGGGACAGCAGCAGGGCATGGGGGACAGCAGCAGGGAATGGGGAACAGCAGCGGGGCATGGGGGACAGCAGCGGGGCATGGGGGACAGCAGCAGG